GCTGCTGCTTCTCCTCCTAAAGAGGTGTGAAGTGAAGGGCAGATGAAGCCCATTTCTCTCTGTGGCTGATGCAGACATCTTGCAGCTGTGGGAAGATCCACGTGGGTGGCTGAGAGACCTGCTAGCTGTCAGGTACAGGCAGAGACAAGCTGGAGCTTTCATTCCTCAGGGATGTAAATACCTGGGAGTTTAGCAGGAGGACACCCCAGCAGCTCAAGGTGAAGTCCTCTCCAGGGTTGGAGGCAGAGCAGCAGAGGTTCTTCAGCACAGACACAACTATGCTGCCTCCAGGCTGTTGTGCTTTGGTCACCCCATGATTTAGCATCTTCCTGTGCTCATCCCCTGCCAGCTCGGTGGTCTCTGCTCCTCCTCTCTTTCCATGGGACATCCCCCTGCAAGTAAATGAGATTGGGTTTTTTTTTCCTTGTAGTTAGCCCAAAGTGAGGGGGGTTTTTTTGGGCTATCCCTCCCTCAAAGCTTCCCATCCTTCAACTTGTCTCTGGAGGATTCACTGCTTCAATCAGAGCAACTTCTTAAGAAGCCAAGCTTAGAGGGAAATCCCTTATGAGCTTATTTTTACCACCTCTTATGATAGGACATCATTTCACAGAAAAAAAAATAATCCAAGAGATGCCAAGGAAATGCTGCTCCTGTAATGACAGGATGTTGGGTAACATTGAGGCTCTGCAGATTTTTAAAGCAGGCTTAAAACTTGCTCTACCTGCTTCCATAAATAGATGCAGTTTCTTCTTCCACCAGACAACTGACATGAAATTATTTGAAAGAAAAGAAATAGTGGGAGTTTAATCAACTGATTGGGTTCACTCTGCTCAACAGGCAACTCACCAAACTGTTCTGTGCTGTGGCTTTCCTGAGGAACCTCCTTGTTCCTCAAGCTGTAGATCAGAGGGTTGAGCATAGGGATGATCAGGGTGTAAAACACAGCAGTGATTTTCTCCATCTCCAGGGAGTACTTGGAGCCTGGTTGCATGTGGCTCAGCCCTGCAGGCACATAGGACAAGGTAACAGTCAGGAGGTGGGAGGCACAGGTGGAGAAGGCTTTGTGCCTTCCTTCAGCAGACCTAATCCTCAGGATGGAGAAGAGGATGTATACGTAGGAGATGATGATGTTGAGGAGCACAGACATGGAAATGGTCCCGTTGAAGGTTACAAGCAAAAGCTCATTGAGGTGATCATCGGAACAGGTGAGCTTCAGCAGAGGGTTAGTGTCACAGAAGTAATGGTTGATGACATTGGGTCCACAAAAAGGCAAGGGCAGCAAGCAACATGTTTGGATTAATGAGTTGAAAATCCCACCTACATATGACCTGGCCACCAGCTGATGTAGACCCTCTTGGGCATAGAAACAGCGCAGAGCAGTGGGTTGCAGATGGCTACGTAGCGGTCATAGGCCACCACAGCCAGCAAGAACACCTCTGTGTTCACAAAGAGAAGGAAAAAGAAATGCTGGGCAAAGCAGGTGGAGCAGGAAATGGTTTTCTTTTCCACCAAGAAGCCAATGAGCAGCTTTGGAGAAAAGACAGAGGAGTAGCAAAGATCAACAACAGA